TTTTGGAGCGGATGGATAAACCCGATGTAGACTTTATGCAGGGTATTTCACCTGCTATGGCGATCCAGCAGAAAACAACGAGTAGCAATCCTCGCTCTACTGTTGGTACTACTACTGAGATTTACGATTACCTGCGGCTTCTTTTTGCTCGTGTTGGGACAACTTATTCTCCGGTTTCAGGAAGAAAGGTAAAAAAGGACTCTCCCCGAACAGTTATTAAGGAGTTGTTTGAAAGCCAGGAAGAAGGCGCTCGATTTTATATCGGCTTCCCAATTCCAAAACATGATAAAAAGAAAGTTGGGGATGAACTCAAAGTCCTTAAAGAAAAGGGGCTCACTCGTCTTCTAAAGCTAGAAGATGAAAGTGTTATCGACCTGACTACTGATGAAGTTGACATAAAAAAGTTTAAACCTGAGCAATATCGTGTACTTGTAGACAGGCTGGTTTTAAAAAATGATGAAGCAACCATAACCCGTATTGCCGACTCTCTTGAAACAGCCTTCCAAACAGTCAGAATCTTAGACAGAGCCCGAGCATTGGATCGAGAGTCTAATCAAAACACTAGAGGGGACTATGGGTTTATGGCTGGCTTCCTATTGGTGTATAGTTGGCTTCCTATTGGTTTATAGTTGGTTTACTGTTGGGTTTAGAGTTGGTTTCCTATGGGTTCATAGTTGGTTTACCATGGGTTTACGGAGGCACCCAAACATAAACCGAACCGCAAGACCCAAACCCCGTCCCACACCCCGCGCCTCAGCAGTTCCAGGGCCTTGGGCTTGTCGCTGCTCAGCAGGATCTGCGCCGCCAGCAGATCGCCGTGCGCCCGCAGCCCCTCGTTCTTGGTGGCCACACCTTGGACCGGGAGAAGGTGAGACCCTTGCCACAGGTGTCCTAGGGCAAATAGATGGCCCTGCTTGATTGTTAAAACAGGTATCTACCTAAACGACCAAAAAGGACACCTATGCTCCTGGCGGCTGTGTATCAAGAAACGCAGCTTTGTGGGCGGGTTTTGACCTTGAGGATCAAGGTGGTGGTCGGTTTGCCCGGAAGTGTGGTGATTGGGGCTTGATACACAGCACGTTCTTGGGTTGCCTCAAGAAAGAGCATCAGCCAAGCTTCCCAAACGATATGGTACATACGACGGCACGCCGCGACGAACTGGCCCAAGCAGCTGTGCAACATCTGAAACGGCCGACATTCCACCGGCTTCCGAATTCCCGGCTCCATGCGTTGAGGGCGCTCCAAACGGTGAATCTCCGTGCCCAGGGGCAACAAGTGCCTGCCTTCAAAGCCTCTCTGGGCAAAATTCGGTGCAAATCCAAGCTGCATTCCTTCTCCAGCTCATCCAACAGTTTCAATGATGCCTCCTTGGTGCCAAGGCTCCCGTTGCGGCTTCAAAAGGCAAAGCAAACGGGCAGCCACGCATGGGAGTGAGAGTGCATCAACAAGGGTCGAAGCCCACATACAAACGGCGCTGGACAAACACACTTGCTCAGATGCATTTGCCTGGCATGGTGTACGCGTGCACTAAGTCACCAGCAACGTCTCCATGTTGCCTACTGAATTGCCTTAAGATTGAAATAGCTGGCAGGTTGAAGAATTCCATTGGCATTGCTCTCAGGGCCGTGAGGGCTCTTTCTTGAGCAACATCTACTTCAGCGGATGAGGCGGGGACAAGAAAACCAGTGCTGAGACTAAGCTGCTGGGCCTTCCCAGCGCGGCTATGCTATTTGTTTCTATATGTGTATTATATGTATGTGTATGTATATATCTACCCTCTCACCAACTAACATGGAAGTGCAAAAAGGCCCTTTCCAAGAGGAAAGTAGTCTTTCTACAGGGGTCTGTGCAATTCCATGTTTGCTGGTGGGAGGGTATGTCATGTCAATGTGTATCCTGGGAATGCTCACAGCATTGGAGAGTCTGCAAAAAGTGCTGACTGCATGGCAAGGCTTGAATTTGTGGAGAACTGCGATCATTTGCACAACTGCTCTGGCTACAGCCATTTCGCTCATGCACATTGTGCAGGTCATCTTTTCTGCTTCGGATCTTGACAGACCCCAGCATAACCCACAGATAACGTAGTGACAATACAGCTTGAAGAAGCTCCTTTCTCAGTGCATCTGCGGCAAACAAACATGATGGAAGGAGTGTGCATGTCTTAGATTGAACCCGTCTTCTTGTTGTATGAACTGGTCAGCAAAGCCGCTACAATGCTAATCCTCGAACCATATGCAATTGCTTCTCACATTGCCGCCAGCTGCTTCCACCGCTGCTTCACGCCACATGGGAAAGAAGGGTCCCCCCTTGAAGAGATTTCACGAGCAAGCCTCTGAGAAGAAAGCCGCCCGCACAAATCCTGGCACAACCCCAAGTCACGCCTCGACCGCACCACGCAAGTCACATGGCAGCTGAGGCACTGAGTCCTTGAGCGCTACCGCGTGTGCTTGCCAGTAGATCGCCAACCCGCGCAGTCGCCTGGAATGGCTTCGCAACGCAGCGAGGCAAACCAAGAAGACATCCAGGTCAACAGGTATCCCCAAGTAAAGAACCATTGTGAGCTCGTTATACCCCCAGCTCGCCTAAAAAGCAGGCAAATGTATGAATGTGAGAGGCTATCAACTTATAGGCTTCTCTTCGCAAACCTTGTCATGAGTCCTTGTTGGCTTTTTGAAGGCAAAGTGGATGGTGTCCGAGAGTACTGCATCCCTGCCAACAATCCGGTCACGTTTTGTTTCCTGTACTGGGGTTGCACGCGTGCCTTAGTGCTCGTTGGACACGCAGATTCCTGACACATTGAGGTTTGTGGCTTTCGTTATGTAGCTGTGCAGCAACACACTTGTGTTGTCTCTGGGCTATCTTTCAGCATTGCTTGCACTTCGTGGCGAAAGTATGTCATGCCTCCCGCAATTAGCTATGGCTCATCCCTTTCGTTCATCGCGTTATACTGTATGTTCATGTTCACTGAACAATTAAAACTAAAAACTGGTCCAGAAAGGGCAGACAACTTAATTGAGGGTGTTCATCGGCTGAATCCCTCGGCCGGTGGGTTTGCCCCTTCCCTCCCTCTGCCTTCTCCATGGGCTGTCGCCCCTCGTCAGCTCCATGGCAGTCGCCGCATAGCGCAAAGTCTCCTCCAGGAGGTTCCGCGAGGCATGGCCGCTGTTGGCCAGCAGCAAGTTGCACCTGGGCCCAGGGTGAGACTCGCAGAAGTTGGACACCAGACTGCCACCAAAATTCACCACTGGCTGGTGCGATAGGGAATGTGGGAATGAACCCATCCCTTAAAGGAAAGCACACAGGATGGTTTATTTTTGGGCCATTGTCTCAGTCCCTGCCTATCGTACCAGCAAGACCAGTCACACAGCCACAGGAGTTTGCCGGGCCGGTTGGGACTGTGGGGCCACGGAGCCCCACACTGATAGGATTGGGCTGGGGTGAATCAATGGCGAGGAAACCAACTTACAGGAGTCCCATTGGAGCCCATTTTGTGATGGTCTCAGCCTCTGCCACTGAAAAACAGGCGTGCACTGCCATGGAATGAGATTGCATTGACTGGCCGGACTTTTGCAGCTGACAAGATATGAAGCATTGAAGAATATTGGAGAGCAAGCCCCAAAGCCCAAGTTGATGCATAAGCCTTCCCCACAACAAGCGCCACGGACCACTCTTTGGGGATGACAAAATGATTGAGGTTTGGCTCTGGGAGTCCCACAGCAGGTGATTGTGAGGGAGCAACTCTGCAACTGCCATATTCCGGCATGAACCTCCCTGAACAGGGAAGAAATTGACGTGCCATTCACCGGCCAGGACATGGGTTGCGCTTGTCCGCATCGGTGGCCGCAGCGGACTTGGTCCGGATGGCCCAGGGAACCAAAGTTGCTGTCAACGTGCGTTCTCCTCACTTTCCTAGCGGTACCTTTCATTTCCATTCTTTCCAGGGATCCTTCTTTCTAGAGAACCTCCAGGAAACCCAGGGAAAACGTCCGGTTTTTGGAAAGAAGGGTGGTTGAAAAGAATGAGGAATCAACCCCTAGAACTTTCGTATCCGAGGCAGCAGAATTCTGGACCAAGGCACTGGACGCACTGCATGAGCAAACGCACTTGATCTTCCAGCCTCAGCTTGGCGCCAAAGCACATAGGACAGTTGTGTCAAGAGCTCCTTCATGTTTTGATGCGTGGCCCAAAAGGCATCAAATAAGTACCTCTGCCACTAGCCGTTCGTGGGAAAGAAGCCGAATCTGCCAAAATTGCTCTCAAGCCATGCCGCGAACTGCACGCTCGCAAAAGACTGCTGTGTTTGACACGCACGATCTCTGCCAAGAGGCTGCCCGGCACGTTTTGCCATCCGCAGTCCTTCCCGAGCTGTGCGTGCGGACGTCTTCACGTCAACTTGGCGCTGGAGGTTGGCTATGTCCTGATGTTGGCAGCTGTGGGGTGTTGAAACCAGCGGCTCCTCCGAAATGAGGCAAGATGTCGGTTTCACGCTTTGTTATTCCACCATAGAAGCGAAAAGGGACCTTCTTAAATGGTTGATACATTCTGTTTGATACATTCCCACATAGTTTGTGGACAAATCTCAGGCCAACGCTACAGAGCCTGACCCGTACAACAAAACCACCGGGCCCACGTGCCACCATCAGGCCTTTGAAAATATCACAAGAACGGACAACTCTCTCAGGGACCCTCAAAAATCGCAGCATATACTCCACGTTCACAGCCAAAGAACTGGGCAACTACAAGGTGCCGAGTCCACAGATACGAGGTGTGAATGTATGAAAGTTTGAAGTTGAGCAAGGCGTCAAGCAAACTCTCTTTTAAGTCAGCACCATTGGTCTCTGCAATGATGTGCGTCCATGCGTGCCTTGAGTCCATGTCCGTGCGGCCGTGGGTGGGTAGGTGGATAGGTGGGGTAGGTGAGGTAGGTGGGGTAGGTGGGGTAGGTGGTTAGGTGGGTAAGTGAGTGGAAGAAGTCTCAAATCGGCAATGGTGCCTGCGCTCTAAAGCAGCCCAGCAGCAACGAGGCACTTGACTTCCTCCTCCTTCCAGCCAGCTTCCTGTGGCCGTCCGGTTGAATTGGTGTTCGAAGGGAGAGTTTGACTCCTCACAGGATGAGTTCATCACTGGGAATCCAACAGCATTATATTATGCTTTTCACCATACGTTGAACGGTGCCAGGAGAACACCGGGCACGCACGACAGGAACGCTGCCTAACAGGGCCCAACACTACTTAGCCACCCGAGCTTCACAAACAACAAACACTTCTGCCAATCATCAAATGGAGTTCGAGCTCTCTGTCCAAATAAAGTGTGGACACTAGCGGTCGCCGTCCACATCATGTTCTCTCCCAGTAAGCCAAATCCTTCCCAGGCCTGAACTATGACGCGGCAGCGCTGCGCTGCTTCCAGCGCCAGGTCGTCCTAGAGGCTGCAATGCAGTGCTTCTGCAGGAAGACACTGCAACTATGGCGCTTTCTTACTTGATCAATGCAATGAATCCAACTGACCTCTCTCGAGCCGCCACCCTCACACAACTCTTCCAAATGGCCAAATCAGCCTAACTTGCGGCACCCAGCACCTCCAGTGCCATAGCAACAACAGCAGGAACAGCAGCCGAAAAAGCAGCAGCAATAACAGCAACAATGGCAGCAACGCCAACAATAGCAACCGCAACCGCAACCGCAACAGCAGCAGCAGCGGCGGCGGCGGCAGCAGCCACTGTTCCTTCTCTTCCTCCTTGTCTAAACCAATTTGTGAAAGCAATATGGACTGCGGGAGTTTCTCTGTTTCCAAATAACCATCTATGTAGAGGCACCAACCATCTCTGCGTCTTCCCCCACCGTATCTTCCCTGTGTGTTTCTGTGTCTTCCCTCACGTGTCCTTTCATTTATTAAGAGACACCTTTCCTTGCCGCTTGAAAAAATTGCCTTCCGGGTGTTAATGAACCTCTTTGGGGCAGTCCCTATGGGGGGTCAGGGCATTCCCTTAAAGGAAACCCGTTGGATGCCTTTTTCGCGCCTCCCCGCGGCTGCGGTGCATCTCCGCGATCGCGGAGAGCGCCATGGCCTCGCCCCGGGGCTCCGAGGCTTTCTGGAAGAGCTGCGCCGCGAACTCCGCGGTCTCCTCAACTCAACCGCCACGTCAGGTATGAGGAGACGGAAGACGCAGGGCGTTTGTTTGGTTGATGTTGCGGGGGAGAAAATGTTGGAAGCGGTGTCCAGAAGGAAGCAGCCGTATGTTGATTGTTTGGGTTGTTTTTTGCCACTGGAAGCAGGCTTGTTGTGGTTTTGTGCAGAGGTGTTACCCAAGTTTCAAGAGAGCTTCCATTCCGGCACCAATCGAGTTGGGGGCCTGAAACATGCATGCCCCTGTGCTTGGAAATTCCGGGACCGACTATGCAAAACCCACACTTTGCAGGAATGGTTTCGCTTCGCTTGAGCAATCCTCTGCTCAAGCAGGGATTGGTTGACTAGGCAGCCAACCAGCCAACCGACCGTCCAACCAACCCACCAACCAACCAAGCAGCCAGCCAACAAACCAACACAGCAACCACCGGAAGTCTCCAAGTAAGCAACCAACCACGTAGCTCGCTCTCTGACTCACCAATGAACCAACCAAAGCCACCTGAGTCACAATCAAATCCTGGTATGAAAATGGTGTACCCAAACCATTGCGCAAAACCGCAAAGGCGGCCGCAAGTAATTCTGGCTGGGTCTTTCCCCTACTAACCTTCCCCGTTTGATTCTGGCTCTCGCCCCTCGCGCCCCTCTCGGCTCCTTGGACTCCTCGAAGCCTTGGAGGCTGGCCGCGGCCGCCAGCAGCGCCAAACCCTCCCGGAAGGCGTCCCCCTCCTCCGCGAAGAAGCGCCGGGCCTCCGAGGCCTCCCGCAAGCTCTCCTGCAGCTGGGACCCGGCGAGGGGCGAGGGGGGGCGAGGAAATGGACGGCGGAGAATCTGTTTTTTTGGCTTTGCGCCGCTGTCCTCTCTCTGTGGTTGCTAAGCGGCCCCCAAAATAGAGGTGCCCCCAATCTGAAAAGGGGCTGACGAATGGGGTCTTAGGGGCTTTTGGGGAGCATTTCCAGGGGGTCTCCTCTTTGGGGGCCCTGACAACTATAGGACACTTGGCAGGTGGTTTCACACACCACCATTCTTTACAGGTTTCATCCATCTCAACTTGTGCAGGTTTTTCGTCCAGCCACTGCAGGAACTGCCCTTCATGAAAACTGGAGATATTTTGTTGGGAGTATCGCATGGCGCATCATTGGGCGAAATGTCAAGTCACAGGGTTCATAGGCTAAAAACAGCTGCAGAGTTAGGCCAGCTTCATGCGAACCTTGGACAGCCAAGCCGAGTTGTCGAATCTTTCCATGTCTCGGGGCTTCGGTCGCAGCCGTGCCTTGGGGTCGAAGTTCCGCAGCAGGACACCCACAGAGAGATACCTGAGCGCTGGCAAAGTAAACACAGGCGCACCACCCAAGCCGAATTCTCCGAATCTGATCTCCCATCAGAGACACCTCCGTACATTTAGCATATTTTCCACCTTTGGGGAGGTTCCCTGTTTGCCAACCGACGAGCTTCTCCTTTTCGTAGCTACAGCAACCACTCGTACCCGTGCCCTTCCGACAACCCCCCACCGGCCTAGCGCAGGCGATGGCTTCCGCCTTCTCTGGCAACTTGCTCCAGAGGCCAATCGCCTGCTCCAGCACCTGCAAACCAACCCACTTCCCCCGCCCTCAACCCAGGGCGACCTGTGGGATTTGGGCACCTTGACGTGGTTCAATGGATTTGGGCGCGGCATGCGCCTGGCCACGTCAAGCATTGTCACCTCAGAAGCCTGTTGTTTCACTTGCAAATCATTGGTTAAATGGTTGACCAAAAATAAGCTATTCATGCCTCTAGTATCGGCATGTCTACATGTACTGTTGAACATACATAATACACGTATATATATAATATATATATATATATATATATGTACATATATACATATATATGTATATGTATATACAAGGATTGAGAAGCCCCCATCCCTGGGCCTTCAGAGCTTCGTCCTCATTGGCCTCGAGGCTGGAGAGTCTCAGCAACAGCCGCGCCTCACCGGACTCTTCCAGTGGCCATGCTCATTGGGCCAACGGGTCATGGCAACCAAACACCTGGCTGTGGGTCAAAAATAGGTACCCCAAATGGAACCCTAGTAAGTGGAAACATGGACCAAAACCTGCGGTCCCCTGGTGGCTTAAATTTGACCCATACCCACCCTTTCTTTCACGACTTGCCTACCCTAAAGGTGAGGGCTTGGATGTGGAAAAAAACTGCCCAACCCTGGTGCTGCTGCAGTGGTGCATTCCGCAAGTAGCTCCTGGGCTTCGTTTCCGCACTTGTGAGACGTTGCACATCCAGAGGATAAATCGGGGGGATGCAAGCAGTGATGAAGAGAATTGTTGCACTTCTCAATTTGCGCGTCTCATCATTGCGCCGGCGCCATGCAAATCTTCCTTGTATTGTTTCAATTTAGGCGTTTCATTCAAAAAACAAAATCCACGAGTGGAAAGAAATCTCGCATGAAGGCATTTCTGCAATTTGTATGTGCCTCAAAAGGCAATACCTGGTCGTGGTTCCTGATGTCACAAATGTGCCATAATTGCTCGACAGTATCAGGTTGCACAGCAAACAAGCTGTCCTGTGATTGTCTGCACTTTCTCAGGTGCTTGCTTTGCACACGACTCTTGCCTTGCAGCGACTGTGCTGAATATCATCTCTCTACCACATTTGTGTGAATGGCAGTTTATGTGAAACCAAACTAAAACGCGGGCCATGTGGGCAAACTCCCTTGGCGGTACGCAAAACCGTCTGCTGGAACAGGGTTGTCGCACCTTGACATCTGGCTCTGGGTCAAAAAACCTCGGTGTGTTTCGGTGTTTCGCACCCGGAAAAGCCAACTAAAAAAAAAAGACAACCGTGGAGCGGGAGCCATCCACAAACATTTTAGGGTTTGACCCAGGGCTGTGGGAAATGACCACTTCTGTGATACAACAATAAGGGCTTCCCAAAGACCAACCCACCGCATAACGGGGGAGATTCCCTTGTATCACAGACGTGGGGTAAAACCCCTTGATCCCACAACCCTGGTTCGACCCATCCGTGCCGAAGTCGGCCTCCAGGTCAGGATCCTCCTTGCTGAGGTCCAGGGCTCTGCCCAGCGCGGGGGCTGCGTCCTGCGTCAAGCCGATGGGAATCGTTTGGACTGTCGCCCCTACCTGGTGCGACTTGGGGGCTCTCTCTGAAAACAAGGGAACACCCCGCAAAAAAAAACGAAAAAACAAGTGGAATGTCCTGTTGGTGTCCTGCAAAAACCACGGGAAAAATCAGGGTACCCTCCAAAAAACCAGACAGACTTGTTTCTATGCCTTGAGCTGCGTAAACTGCATAATCCGAACCTGCAACTCTTCTCGAGCGCTCGAGCGCTCGCTCACCTGCCCGGACTCTGAGAGAACCCCGGCCAAGAGCTCCAGGGCCAAGGCGTGTTGCCTGCGCGTCGAAAACTCGAAACTCCGAATCTGCGGATCCGAGTCGCGGGTCCCTGAATGTGGGAACTTGGTGGTTTGAAGCTTGGTGGTAGTCCGAAGGATCATAGTAACCTCAAACTTCGATGGGTCTCGAATGACCACAACAAGCGGAGGGGGCAGGTTCCATTTTTTGGGGGGGAACTTTGTATTGGTGGAGTTTACAACCCGAGGATGATGACCGTCTGACCACAGCAGCCCAAAACATGATGGGTTGGTTTGACCACAAAAAGGGGCATTTTTTGAAGAAGCCCATCTCAACTTCAAGCCTATGCACTGTCGCCAAGCGCAGGCGAGAGGTTGGTGGCAAAGAGTGTTGATTTGAGGATGCTTTGGTTGAGGATGAGTCTCGGGTCTCCTTTCTCCATGCTGTAAGCTCCCAGCGGCAAGAACAAATTGGTCGATGACCTTGCAACACCCAATGGAAACACGTTCTGACTTTCCAGAATCGGCCAATTGCTTGTAGTTCACCTCCATGCGGGCAATATTCCCCAAAGTGGGGCTTTGTCAATTCAAGCCAGACATGCGTATTCTAAGTTTGTGAGCAGGAGTCATTTGGAAGACTACCATCCTCTTCAATTACTTTTCAAAAACAAGGGGGAACCTCCAAAACGATTCAAAACGCAACCACAAAAAGAAACAAACAAAGAAGAAACAAAATGAAACTGGTTGGCCAGGTGAAGCCTTGTCCCCTTTTTCGGCAGACTTTCAAGGGACACCGGGGTTCCCCCGCTTTCAGGTGGCGGCGAAAAAGCGCGCCTGGCCGTCTGGGCCCTTTGCACCGCCAGCTGCGCCGCGCTCTCCGCGTGCTCCGGGACGCCAAGGTCCAGGGCCGCCTGGCAGAAGAGGCCCAGCGCCGGGTGCTCCTCGCTGCCTTGGACGAATAACTTCCGGCCGATCGCTTGCCCGGAAGCGAGGGGTTCAGGATTGCAGGGCGGTCACCGGGAGAAAAGACACCACCCAAATTCGGGAGACCGAATGCGGAGCCAAGTCCGAGGCTGAACGTTTTGTGGAGTGAGTTTTGCTATGTTAGGGCTGAAGCCAATGGGAAATGGAGGAGCGGCGCACTGCGCTCCAACGATATCAGGACGAGCTGATCATGCGAGCCTATGAGCAACAGCAGAAAGGTCACAAACGGCCAACACGCTATGTTCAACGACCTAGGGCAAGTGCCCCTGGTTGGGAACCTCACTTCGATGGTCCATTGCCAACGTTCACCTCCACATCATACGGCTGCTTAGTCAACCCTCAGCCTGGCCACAAAAATAAATGATAAGTTTCAGAAAGAGAAACGCAAGGCTTAGCCCAGCAAAGTCAACTGCGCCAGCTTCCGACACCTGGGGCTGGATGGGGTTCTTGGAATCACGGGGGTGGCAGGTGTTGGCTCCGATTCCCGCAAGCCTCTCAAGACGAGTAGCGAACCTCTAGCTGAAGGAGCCAAGCAAAAGACACAGTGATGGAATATATCCCTTGCGTCTGCGTCTGTTGCGCCGCTGTCGATTGAAAGAGTTCGCTCCGCTTGCTACAGCTGCGCAGGTTCGGCCAATGTCTTGTAGCTCAGCGAGCATCACTTGCCTTCCCAGGGTTCCGTTTGACTACCCCAAGGTCAACTTAAACCCAGGGGTGGTTCCTCCCCCCAAAAAGGAGAAGCCGGTTTAAGTCTATCGTGGGGTAGTCAAACAGTGGAACCCTGGAAGTGCATTTGCAACGTGCCGAGTGGCCCAACTCCTGCAGCAACGTCAGGGCCTGGAGTGGGGAGGCAAGGGCCAATGTCAGGTCGGCTTTGGGTGTATCCCTGGGGTTGTACATGCCCCCCCAAAAGAAAAAATGTATAGAAAGAACTCTTGTTTTGGCGAAACACTACCAAAAACAAAGAAACCTATATGGCTTGCACACTTTGGAGGCACTAGGGACACAGTCATGAGTCATAGGGGTTCATGACAGTCCCTCGAGCACTCGGGCTCTGAGAGCAACAGGCTCCACAAGAGCTCTCGTGGCGTCGCGTGCGGCCAAGTACCGCACCCGTCTAGTCTTGCTGTTCCCTTGGTCTCTTGCAACTTCCATGGCTAGACCGAGGCAATGTTGGAGCACTTGCAAACATGGCTCTTGGACGGGGCCCCTTGGCCCCGCCGCTGCAATTGTGCTACTTGGCGCAAAGAACCCAGTGGTGCTGCTAATCCAGAACGCAAGGAACCAAATACAGGCGTGTCCCTTGTCACTTTGGCAGTTGCAAGCTGGGGGCAACTGGTCGGGCAAAGAATGAATTCTGGGAATGGATCCAAGACCAATTCTGGCTCGAAGAAAGGATGGAAAAAATGGATGCAAAAGAAGAAGGACAAGCAGCAGCAACAACATCAGCCACCAATCTCGGCCGACGTGCCTCTTCCGCAATCTTCATAGCCTCTCGCATCACAATTTGCTCAGCAGGCGACTGAAACGTTGGCATGCCTGTTGTGTCAAACTAAAGCGCAATAGGACCTATTCGAGGTAGAAAGATGTGACGATCCGACCATTGCTCTACTGCTGTGGAACAAACACTGTCCTTTTGGCGCATGTCTGCATTCGTCGCGCCAAAAGATGCCACATGCCCCTTCCTTGCAATGAGTGACCATCATCCAACGTTGAGAAAGGCATTTTCGCTAGTGGGGGACAATACCCTGGACGGCTCTCGACGGCGGGCACTCAGCAACTTGTACCTCGTAACACGCAGCGACAAACATCGATTCCGGTAGACCCGTGGATTTTGTCACGAGTCGCTACCCTCAAACCGTCTTCCCAACAAAAGAAGACCTCACGCTTTAGGCCAGCAATAGCCCTCTGTGGGGTTCCCCACCAGCATGCTGGATTTCCACACATGTAAATCAAGGATTTTCCGGCACCTTGGACTCACTTCACTCACTTCACTCCATTGATTCGCTGGCTCCATCGCGCCTTCCTGGGCTGCTCGGATTCCAGGCAGAGCCGCGCCAGGCTGAGCTCCACCGAGGCATGGCCTCGGAGAAGCCGAGGCCAAGGATCCCAAAGTTCGCTCGTCGGCATCGAGGATCCAATTTGGTTGAACAGAGCAATTTGTTGACAAGCCAAATGATTCACGTCAAATTGAACAGCTCCATTTTTTGAAGAGATTGTAGAAACCAGCCACGGGAGATTCATTCGTCAAATTGAACACTGTTGAAGATATTGTAGAAACCAGCCACAGGGAGAGGTTGCAGGACATTGAAGAATCACCCAAAAAAAGCAACAAAAAAGCAAGCAGGTGGTTCACCCAAAACTGGGCATCTGTGTTTGGCTTGGATCTGACAATGGGCCACATGTGTGTGACGACACCCAAAAGATACGCCTCCCAAAAGGCTGCAGATTGATTTGACTTGCTGATTCTGTGGCTCTTTCTTTGTATTAAGCAGTCAGTTTGCAACATGTCCCGCTGGTCGTAGTGCTTTCTACTTTTTCTCTGTGCACTGGCCAACCCCAGTCTTGGCTAAGATCCCGCTATGGCCCTCCCGGCACGTCTGAGCTGCGGGCAGTGCCAAAGCTGCAAATCACTGTAGAGGTTCTGGGCGTCCGTGGCGTGGCGCAGACCTTCCTGGCACGGAAGTGCAATGGCGGCTGGAACTTTGACTGCAAGATGCGGGTACGCAAATTTGCCGCAAAAAATTACAGAAGCTCTGTGGAGGAGGGGGAACTTCCAGCTTGCGCCTTGGTTGTGGAAAATTGTGTGTGCGTGTGCTTGTCCTAGAATGGATAGTCCCAAAGTGCCTAATCTTGATGGCATTATTTATCAAACGGGAAGCATCCCCGTCAGAGTTAATTGCGGCCTTGGAATGTAATGCTGCCTGCTGAAAAGGGTGTGTTTGGCCTGGCCCACATTCACGCGACGCATCCAGGATCCTTGCAATGGCCAACCGTTTGGAAATGCCGTCTAGCAGAACACAATCATGGAGATTTTGACGTGCACTAAAGGGCTACTGTCTTACGCACTCTGAATAAAAGCAGATCTGGAGCACTGCACCAGCGTATACCTAAGTTTGAAGGCTCAGGCGCGCTCAGCGCCGCTTATTTGTTTTTCTGTATTCCTTGCACATCGCTCTTGGACACTTGCCCAGTATCAATGCGGCAAAGGCACAGAGGCATTACACAGAATTTGTTTTCCGGATTCCCTTGCCACATCGGCGCTCTCGCGCACAAAGCGGTCCCAGGCTGCTTTGTACAGCAATCGATCCGTGGCAGTAAGTGCATCTATGTCCTGCAGCACCGTGTCGCGAAGCTGTGCCAGTTTTTCCTCCCCATAGTAGGTGCTGTTCCTTGGTGCACAGCTGCTGCAAGCTCAAATCCCCATACATTGCAAATGGAAAAGACAAGGAACAGGGACGGCATAAAAGTCGTGCTAAGACAAACGAGATTCTGATTTTCCGTGTGCCCGTGAAACTCTTGCCATCTCTGCCTGTCAGCGCAGTCGCAGTACTGTGGCAGCGAGTGTAGTACTCGCCAGTGAAGCAGGCAGACTGAAGCCTGATACGCCTCAGCAAAGCCTACGAACCAGAGTGCATTCAGGTTCTGCATCAGCAGCGTCGTGTTGATGCTGCTGTCGTACTTGAGCGGCTTCTCACAAGTCAGCCTCTGACTTTGCCTTTGTGCAGCAGGCGACTTCAGGGAACGTGACATGGAAATGAAGGTTCCGGAATGCTCGAATGAAAAGCCTCGTGCTCAAACGACACCTCTGATTCCCAAAAGCATCACACCAAGGTGTCCCATGTTTCCCCATATTTTCCCACATCCCGTATTTCCGTACATTTCCACATGTTTCCCCATATGTCTCCGTTAAACTCGCTTGAGTCACAATCAAAACCTGGTACAAAAATGGTGAACCCAGAACTATGTAAAGAAAGGCGGCCGCAACTATTTCCGGCTGGGACTGCCCCTGACTAACCTCCATCTATCCCCGAATCGGTTTCGGTTTTGAGCACGTGGCTCACTTGAAAAGGTCGGGTCGCAGGTTCACCGGCGCATAGCACTGGAAGGGCACCTTGGTGCAGTGCCACACCGTGCCGCCGCCGTCCAGCTGCGCCCAGTCCTCCACCCGCAGCACGGTGGGCTTCACGCTGTAGGGCGGCTGGCCCCAGGCCTCGGGTCTGAAACCTCGTTTTCGGGTCGGATCTGGTGGCAAGCAAGATGAGCATGGGAATCCGGAAATGGCCATGGGTTTAACAAGGAACCACCTGAAAAGTGGTGGACAGAAATCCCCACCTACATTTCATGTCCGCCAAAGGGTCCCTAACTAGATTGAATGCCCAAATTGATACCGAAGGTGCGTTGACTATTGACGGGAATGCCGGGGAGGATAGCGGGTGCTCCCTTCCCGCCAACCATCCTCGGGAACTCTTGGGGAGAGTTGGGAGAAGCCTGAGCACCAGCCAATAGATGAGAAGCCATGCCTGAAGTCGGCAAAATGTGGCAAGTTGGACTGCGCTCAAGAGCCTGAAATGATCACATAGTACGACGGGGAGGACACGCTGGCAGGGGCAATCGCTGCTCGCAAGCTTGAGAGTCGCAAAGCAAGGCCTGCATTGGAGTGAACGAAAATGCTGCCTGGCCAGTTTGCAAGCAGCGAGTTTTGTGAAACACTGTGATTGGATGAACACCGGCTGATCATGGCGCGTGCATGAGTCTGCAAGACTACAATACCTGCCTTCCAAGTCCACTGATATGGCGTCACCTATGGAAAGGTTGTTTTGGGGCTGCAAACGAGCTGTCCGACAAGGTTTGACCAGGCGCAACCAGAAGGACTCCGTTGGAAAATGCGAGTGAGTCCCCCACCTTCAGATATGTTCAACAAGCTAGCCGTAGGAAACATGGTCAACACCCTCCGAAACGAGATCCAACCGAGGATCACATTCAACGCGAAGCTCGTGATTTTGGTGACGTGCCACACCCAGAATCGGCCTCTCTTGTCTCTCATCGCACATTTTCTTTCTTCCCCCCGACCATCCGTCTGACCAAAACCGGTTTTTGGAGTGTCTTCCATCAAAAACAGCGTTTGGCCATTTCGGGTCCCCCAGAAAAAGGATGTTTGCTACCCCGAACATCCGTTTCCCCCGAAAATCCCCCGGAAATCCTTTGTCGGGGGAGGTCTTGTCCGTTTCCCCCCGAAACTCCGTCCGACCAATTTCCCGGATCGCCTCCGTTCGCAGCTGCCGCACGGTCCGCTCCACGGGCGACTCCGCGGCGCTTGGGGGGCTGAAGTCCGCCAGACTCCTGCGCCGCCACGCGGCCACCCAGTCCTCGGAGCGCACGCCGCTGGCGGCGAAATCGGTAGGGATCGAGAAATGGAATGAACCCATCTCTTAAAGGAAAGCACACCAGTTGGATGTGTTTTTTTTGTTCTCTTTCTTTCTTTTTTCGGTTCATTCCATTTCTCACTCCCTGCCGATTTCGCACCAGCAAGTCAAGAACATTCCGGAGATTCACAACACTTGTCAAGTTCCCAGTCGAGCTTGACATTCGGTGCAATCCCCTTCTGGCAGCTCTGGAGTCCTGGATTCCCTGTTCCTATTCCGCGCTTGATCACTCGGCTTTGCGCACACAGATCCTATTGTGTTCATCGTAGTTCACACACAGCTCCAAACATGCACGATGCTTGTGGGGAAACACAGAAGAAGTTTAAGCCCCGGGAAAAACAAATCAACATCTTCTGGCAACCTGTGCTCTTTTCCGACGAGCAACCCAAAGGGACGCAACAACCTTGCAAACAAGCTGGCATGAAGTGAGGCACAGGTGTCTTTCTTCCCTTCCTCCCCCCCAGCGATTGAGGGCCCAGAGTGAGTAATAGCGCCATGCGCATAAAACGGCGCAACGACCCAACCACTTACCCTGAAATGCATCGCAGTCGGCAGGCTGTTTCTCTGAACTCCTCCGAGTTTCGGCAAAGCGCCCGGGCAGCTGCTCGGAAGAGTTGGCAGACAGAGCTTCACGGTACTGGGTAACCCAGTGGCTGCGGCACATCTTGTACCTCGGCCAACGTGATCTCTTTCGGCTTCGGTTCAAGCCCTCGCTTTGGGCCCGAATGCTTGTTCTTTTTTTCTCGTGGCACGGGCCGTACTTCGAGCTTGCGGAAGCCGGAAGATGGGATGATCTCGCATGCTGCCCGCTGCACAAATGCGAGTTGGGATGCGGAGCAGCCACTCCTTGCGTAGATTGGGTTGAGAGTTCCTCCGAAAATACCAAGACATTCAAAAGAATCAACAACACTACCGTGGGGACAACTGCTTGCGACAAGGTACTGCGAGAGTACGTGCGCACGAGGCTCTCGAAGCATGGTGATCGTTCCTGCACCAAGTCACTTTACTGGCAATGACACGACAACTACACCCTGCGAGCATGATGTGCTGAAACGTGCGTTTGCGTCAAACAAGCAACACAGGTGCCTCAAGAGCATATCCGTGCCGCAGCATTGCATCCTTTAGCATGCAGTGTAGGTAGATCAACGGCGGTGAGCTGCGCTGAAGTTTTGCCATTCTCATTTTGTATGTCTCTGCAATTTGTTAGAAGCAACGAGTGTTTTATGATCGTTGCGATGCTGCTTGATGTCCTGCAGGGTGCTGATCAACACTGCTTCATGTCCGGTTCATCATCGATCCCGGACTGTTTGTTTGTTTGTTTGTTTTGCTTGTGTGTGTGTGTGTGTGTGCGTGTTTGTGCAAAGCATCAAAAGACAATGTGAGATGTGAGCATCAGAACAAAGCCCAATGTAGCAGACCAAGCTAAGCTTGTGACCCTGAAGTCCGCTCGTCTCGCAACCACCCCCCCCTTCCCTCACCTCCCTCCCCCACCTTTCAGGTGAGCATTCTGGCGGTGCAGGCTGAAGCAGCCCTCCTGGCTGATGATCCGCAGCTGCGCCTTCTGGAGGATCTTCTGTGCGTCCAGCGCGAAGGAGCTGCCCGCAGACTTGGGGATGTGGAGGTTGTAGACTTGATCCGGGCCGCAAGCCGTTCCTCTGGACGCCTGCGAGGCCTGCGAGGCGGCCGTCCTGGGAGCCAGTGACAAGGCCAGGCTCCTCTGAAGCATCGACAGGGAGGAAACCTCCTCCGTCTCCGCGGCGCACAGCAGCAGCCATGCCCAGCTCAGAAGCATGGCCAGGCGCATGCCAAGGCGATCAGTCGCACGCACGCATGAAATCAAATGTGATAACGGCAAACTCAGCAATCTCTGAAAAAAATACGAAATCCGGCAAATGTGTGTACATGCGTTTTCTTGCTCCTGAATTCAATAGGTGGTCGTGTTGAGGGTATGGTCATACAGCCTGCAGCGCAATACATGAAGCGGTCAAAGCTCGGTTCGGTGAGGTTCCCTAGAGCCAAGCCGCCAGCAACCTCGGGCCGTGCTCAGTTGTTTTGCGTTGATCGAGTAATCTGACAATTGAGGGCAGGCCCTCATCTCCAGAAGAGCAAAGCAAACATTGGGGAGGAAGCAAAGTGATGTGGATTTGGAAAGACAAACATTGCAAACTGTAGGATGTGATGAGACACAACGTTGCCCCTTCAGCAGTTGCACTCGATCAAACACAAGTGGGACTTTCCCTAGCGCCCGATTCGTTCAGCCTTGCATTAGGTTGAGGGTGACGATGCTGGGCGCTTCTGACATTCCGCGCCATGGTAGTGCCAGCTCTTTTCAAGGGTTGACCATGCTGCAACACCGTTGCAACACATACTGGGCAACAATAAGCTGCTCAATATCCAACAGTCATCCTGTCAGCCAAAAATCATCGGTTTTGCAGGTGCTTGCACTCCTGTGCCGCTATTCTACATATATATATATATATATCTATATATATCTACGGATACAACCTTGAGGCTGCAAAACCCAACAGCTAGGCAACAGCAAGAGCTCGGTTTGGAAAGGCTGTCTTTCGACAGAGTCGAAATTCCAACCATCGTTGATAAGCTCGCAACTATGTTCAACCAACCACCTGCCCTTTCCAAAGCAGCAGCACGGGTCAAGCTATTTGCAACATGTGGCTCACAAAGGCCGCGCCAAGCCCGTTTTAAGCCCGGCCGGGCAACTGTGTCCCAACAGCACGGCAAAAGGTTGGCCTGTGACTGTTTGAGCCACCGAAATGTCCAGAAAACTTGGCCAGGGTTCAGGTCCATGGAGGGGCATCAGAAACATACAAAAACATAGATATATTCTATATTATAATATATATATATATATATATACATACATATACATATATATGTATATATGTATTCTAGACACATACATATACATACATATGCAACGGCACAAAAACTTGTTTTGTCAAATGAAGCACCAACGTCTCCTGTGACACAGTCACATCCTCCCCCTTTCTCTCCCCTCGCCTCATAGGCGGAGCGTGTGCCGCCCAGCGCCGTTGCCAGCGCCAGCACGTGCAGCGCATAGGCCTCCTTCCTGCGGTCGCCCAGGCGCTGGCACCTCGATGCATCGCAGCCCGCGGACCCGCTGGCAGCTCGTAGGTTCCGGACCCATGACCAAAACCATCCTTGCCCCCGGTGATAAAATCATCCTTCATTTGCTTTAGCCCCCTGGAAAAGCAAACATATGTCCAGTAGGGATAAGTTCCCTGAAGCCCCTTGAGATTTCCGGCTCGGCGCAAGGGCCAGACAATTCGCGCGTTTCGACAGCCCAAACAAAGGGGTGAATTGAGTGTCTCTTGCCTGCACACTGCGATGCGTGAAAACATGATGCCTTGACATAGCAGCTTGGCATTGTGCGTGCAACACCTGTAGCCACAACAAGCTTCAAACTTTCACAAGACTCAAGCCAGTCCCTGGCCTCGCATCAAAACAGGCCACCATCCGAATTTATAGACAAGGGCACCAGCACTGCCAAAAAGATTCCTTCTTTACTTTGAGACAGTCTGCTAATTCCGTCAGCTGCCTTTAAGTGAAAGCTAGTGGCAGTTGAGTCTATGTCAAGCCATAGGAAGCCCACCGAGTTTGCCGGATCCATGCCGGGCCCAGTCCGAGGCCCAGGCTTCTCTAAGGCCGCCTGAGTCGCAGATGCAACCCGGCTGGCCGGGTTAAAGCTGCAAATCGTCACAGGCCGCAGATACCGTCGCATGCCAGCGTTCAGTACACACCACGCATTCGTCGGCTACATCTGAACTCTGGAAGAAGCAGGCAGTGATCACGGTCTATCAGAGTCGAGAGACAGCTGTTG